GCAGATTCTATTATCATTGTTTGATATCACATCCGGATACGACGTTGTGTTTATGCCCCTATCCGGTGCCTATGGCAGTAAGTAGCCCGTAGTGTCAAGCTCCGATAATTGCACGCTGCTATGCTGCCTGTATGGATGCTCTAGGGGTGTCTACATTTTTTGCATTAAGGTCTGTATTTGACTAATTGTATAATATAGTGTCCAGTGTTTGCAGCATTGACGAATCATAATTCGCATTTCAGCAATTTGTTTAGTGCTGGGGTTGTTTCCACCTGATGACGGGCACTTGTGTTGCACCCGAAACGTCGTGATTTAATTTATTTTATATCTACGTGACTACCGAAAGAACCAAAGAGTCACACAAATATATTTATTACCATCCCCTTCAACTTCACCATCATTACCACTACTGTCATTGTTTGTACTACCACCATCATCACCATCCGCATTAAACTAAAATATTCGGCACATTTGTCAAACACTGCTCTATGGGGAACACATAATAATAATTATTGAAAACTTGCAGCTCGGCACACGGCGGATACCTGCGCAGCACGACTCACGACCTCCTCTTGATACCAAGATCCAGGATGGGCATGTCTAGGCGCAGCTTCTCGGTGGCAGCCCCAACAGTCTGGAACGCAATCCCTCTACACATTCGCAGCATCACCTTAATCGCCTCCTTCAAGAGAGACTTCAAAACTCATCTCTATAACCATGCTTTCGAGCGAATCTGAGCTTGGCTCCGTGCCTCTGAGTTGCGGCCGTCACGTCCGCAAATTTGCGTGCGTTATAAATTGAATTATTATTATGATCAGTTAATGATATTAATTATATTGGTAGGAACCTCCTGGTTCCACCAGCCCACAGGGGATTATTGTGTCTGTCCGTCGTGCATCCAAAAATGGGAGGGGAGGGAGGGGTTGGGAGGGGAGGGTGGGGCTGGGTGGGGAGGGTGGGGCTGGGAGAGGGGTGGGGCTGGGTGGGGAGGGGCTGGTCACCCCGAGGTGCCCTTATAAAACTCAACGTTGAACCTACTCACGCCGGCTTGTGCCCGCCCTCAGTCGGCCATATTTGCGGAATACACCACGCCGCCGTTGAACCCTGGCCATTGACCGAGCAACCCAACGTTCCTACCAGCTCCCTCCGCAGGAATGTGTTTATCAATGTTATACAGCGGTAATGACTCTGTTGCCTGTATATAACAGGCAGAGTTTTTCACGTGATATCTCTTAGCTGTGAGCACTTCTGGGTAATGCAAATTACTCAACGTTGATCATAAGAATCTCCCAGCAGATAATAGCTCCTGTTGATTTGGGCTGTTGGATAATAGGAGTCATGCAAAAGAGAAGCATACATAGGAGGACTTATGTTGCATAGTAGCAACAAGTTGTCTTGAGTATACCGAGTAAAACGTTTTTATGATCAGACTTAGTGCTGCATAATGTATAAATAGAATTAAAGTGGATGTGGGAAAATATTTGAAAAATCATGCTCCTTTTTATGGATTTTCCAGTCTTTTTAAGTGTATAATTACTTACTGAGTGGGCTACATATTTGTTTTCTTAACTTTGACAGTAATTAAAATCACACTTGTCTAAAGGGTGTTGCAAATCAAATCTTCTTGGCAGTTCATATTTTAGGTTCGTTTACCGCTACCTCTCTGGCCTAATTTCTAGGGAAATTACCAGTTTTGTCAGGCTTCAGCCATAATGTTTATTTTGGAATTGGTAGTCCAAAAAACCTGTAAGAGCAAAAACAACAAAATTTATAAACAAGGCACCCTGGGCAAAGGTTCGTTTTTATGCCTGTGCAATGACCAGAAAGGATGCTTCCTGACAGCAATGTGTTTACTTGTTATAAATTCTAGGACTTTTAATGAATTTCACAAAAGTTGAACATCTTATGAAGGTGAAGTCACATTTAATAAATAGTTTTTTGTCCTCGAATTTGGATCAACTGAATATAAAATAAAAATGACTGATGATGGTGCAATGGTTTGAAGACCTGCACATGATGGAGAAGGGCAAGATTGTTAACAGCCACTGGATTGGGACCTTTGGGTTGTGCACTATGGGAAGACCTAAAGCCAGATGGAGGAATGCATCTGAGTCCAGCAGGGTGATAGTGTGGCATCAGAGATGCTGGCCATGATGAACTATTCATTGTGATATTTGATCAGTATTGAACTGAAATTTAAACATTCTCTGTTCGTGTTCATATTGTATCCAGACTTTGTCATGCCGTCTACTGTGATTAGCGAATGGTCACTTTTTTGTACCTAGATCAATGGTCGTAGGTGCTACATGTGTCAATTTCAATCCGTAAGATCTCCTTGGGTTGTTACGGTCTGAATGAGGCCTCACTCATTGTGACAGCCTGCCAGACTGCCAAACATATGAAGTAATATATATAGATAAATTCACAGCGTGTTTGTCTATCCTGCTTGGGCAGGACATACTGCTTGAAGGGATGATTGCTGATCGATGAGACTGGTTATGGAATTACAGCCAAAAGAGGGGAACATGCCCATGAGGAGCTGAAGTAATGAGATCAGCTCATGTGCAGGAAGGAGCGAGTTGGATTATGGCACTGCAAGATCATGAGGGATGGTGACGATGTGGGGAGAGCTTCTTCCAGGAGTGGATTGATCATGGCTGACTGATGATGATGAAATTAAATTTCAAAGCTGCAGTGAGCCATTGTGATGGTAAGTTTGAGTGACAGTGTGGGCCAGATTGAGTGCGTTGGATGGTATTTGTCCCGTGGCTGTAGATTTGATAGGCCTGTATGACACCTTCCTTGTCTGTCTTAGGTACCAAGTCTAATAGCATTTTTACTGAGTCGATCATATCTGTATAGATGTGCTGTCACTGTCAGCTTTTGCTGAGTGGACATGAAGGCTACACAGTTGAATGAAGATAATGTTTATTTTGTGCATATTTTAAGTTTTGATTCAATTTTGTAGAATGGGTTTGTGTGTGACTTGACTTTTTTGGTAGTTGGCTTGGCTTGGACTGGTGCAGCCAGGCACTGTTCACATGGTTGTGTGTGTGCATTGTCTTGTTGAAATTTAAATTAATAAAGAGTGTGTAAGCATGTACAGTTAGGGAAAAAAGTATTTGATCCCGTGCTGATTTTGTACGTTTGCCCACTGACAAAGAAATGATCAGTCTATAATTTGAATGGTAGGTTTATTTGAACAGTGAGAGACAGAATAACAACAACAAAATCCAGAAAAACGCATGTCAAAAATGTTATAAATTGATTTGCATTTTAATGAGGGAAATAAGTATTTGACCCCCTCTCAATCAGAAAGATTTTTGGCTCCCAGGTGTCTTTTATACAGGTAACGAGCTGAGATTAGGAGCACACTCTTAAAGGGAGTGCTCCAAATCTCAGCTTGTTACCTGTATAAAAGACACCTGTTCACAGAAGCAATCAATCAAACAGATTCCAAACTTTCCACCATGGCCAAGACCAAAGAGCTATCCAAGGATGTCAGGGACAAGATTGTAGACCTACACAAGGCTGGAATGGGCTACAAGACCATCGCCAAGCAGCTTGGCGATAAGGTGACAACAGTTTTTGCGATTATTCGCAAATGGAAGAAACACAAGAACTGTCAATCTCCCTCGGCCTGGGGCTCCATGCAAGATCTCACCTCGTGGAGTTGCAATGATCATGAGAACGGTGAGGAATCAGCCCAGAACTACACGGGAGGATCTTGTCAATGATCTCAAGGCAGCTGGGACCATAGTCACCAAGAAAATAGTTGGTAACATACTACGCCATGAAGGACTGAAATCCTGCAGTGCCCGCAAGGTCCCCCTGCTCAAGAAAGCACATATACATGCCCATCTGAAGTTTGCCAATGAACATCTGAATGATTCAGAGGACAACTGGGTGAAAGTGTTGTGGTCAGATGAGACCAAAATGGAGCTCTTTGGCATCAACTCAACTCACCGTGTTTGGAGGAGGAGGAATGCTGCCTATGACCCCAAGAACACCATCCCTACCGTCAAACATGGAGGCGGAAACATACTTTTGGGGTGTTTTTCTGCTAAGGGGACAGGACAACTTCACTGCATCAAAGGGATGATGGACGGGGCCATTTACCGTCAAATCTTGGGTGAGAACCTCCTTCCCTCAGCCCAGGGCATTGAAAATGGGTCGTGGATGGGTATTCCAGCATGACAATGACCCAAAACACACGGCCAAGGCAACAAAGGAGTGGCTCAAGAAGAAGCATATTAAGGTCCTGGAGTGGCCTAGCCAGTCTCCAGACCTTAATCCCATAGTAAATCTGTGGAGGGAGCTGAAAGTTCGAGTTGCCAAACGTTAGCCTCGAAACCTTAATGACTTGAAGATCTGCAAAGAGGAGTGGGACAAAATCCCTCCTGAGATGTGTGCAAACCTGGTGGCCAATACAAGAAACGTCTGACCTCTGTGATTGCCAACAAGGGTTTTGCCACCAAGTACTAAGTCATGTTTTGCAGAGGGTCAAATACTTATTTCCCTCATTAAAATGCAAATCAATGTATAACATTTTTGACATGCGTTTTTCTAGATTTTGTTGTTATTCTGTCTCTCACTGTTCAAATAAACCTATCATTAAAATTATAGACTGATCATTTCTTTGTCAGTGGGCAAACGTACAAAATCAACAGGGGATCAAATACTTTTTTCCCTCACTGTATGTGTTTGTTGTTGAAAAAATAGCAGATATTGAGTTAATGTATTTGATCTTCTAAAAATAAGTTAATTATACATTTTTGAAGTATACTATGCTTTTTGTGACATTTGATTAATAACGTGTTTTTATACAATTTTCTGCGATTCATAGTGAACGGTTTGATTAACTAATGACATTGGCAAAAACGTATTTGGTAAAACTAAACATGTTTAAATATGAACAACTAATAACGGGAAAACCTAGTCTCATATTTTGGTACTGGCAAAGGAGGTCCCATGATCTAGATCAGGGGTCCTCAAACTTTTTAAACAGGGGGCCAGTTCATTGTCCCTCAGACCGTTGGAGGGCCGGACTATAGTTAAAAAAAAAAACTATGAACAAATTCCTATGCACATTGCATATATCTTATTTTGAAATGAAGAAACAAAACTGGAACAAATACAATATTTAAAATGAAGAACAAGTAAAGTTAAATCAACAAACTTCCCAGTATTTCAATGGGAACTATGGGCCTGCTTTTGGCAAATGAGATGGTCAATGTCCGGTTCCATATTTGTCACTGCTAGTCGTAACAAGTGATGCAAGTGTGCATCCGTTAGTCTAGATCTGGTTGGAGATTTCAAATGTTTCATTCTGGAAAAAGTCTGTTCACAGACATAAGTGCTGCCAAAGATGGTTGCCATTATTAGTGCATGGTTCCTGAGATGAGGATATGTCTCAGAGGGGAGAGATGCATAGAAATTATGAAGGCTGCTTGACTTGAATGCGTCTTTCAGAGTCACAATTCTGCAGTTCAGCCAGTTCCATTTGGTAAATTGTATCCACATTTTCAATGTCAATAGAAAATGGGTTACGGAAAAGCTGTATGTCCTGTTCATGGAGATGAAGCTCTTTAAATCTAAATTGGAACTCCTTTTGCAATTTTTCCACATGTTTTGTTTAGGGAATTGCAACCAATGGTTTTTCCACTAACAGATTTTGAGTTGTGGGGAGATGGCAGAAGTTTTCCTCCTTAACTTGTTTGATGAGGAGGCCTAATTTTACTTCAAATGCTTTGACATGTGATTGCATATCACAGATGAGCTTCCCCTTTCCTTGAAGTTGCACATTGAAACTGTTGAGTAGCTCTGTTACATCTGTCAGAAAGGCAAGGTGCCATTTCCATTTTGCATCATTGAGCTCTGGTACTTATTTGTTTTTTGAAAGCAGAAAAGCTGTAATCTGTGGAAGTAAGTCATAGAAACGTTTCAAAACTCTCCCTCGACTCAGCCAACGGACTTCTGTGTGGTACAGAACATCTTAATAGTCAACATTTAGTTCAGACAGAAATTCCTGAAATTGTCTGTGGTTTAGTGCATGAGCTCTAATTAAGTTAACACACAAGATACCACAATTTTCATAATAGAGTCCCACTTCAGTGATTTACTACACAGCGCTTGTTGGTGGATGAGGCAGTGTATGGCTATTGGATGAGAATGGTTATGTTTGTCCATCTCTTGGTTAATGCGAGCAATTACTCCTTTCTTAGACCCCACCATGCTAGGAGCACCATCAGTTGTCACACTGGCTAGTTTAGCCCAGTTCAGCTCCAAACCATTCATAGTTTGGCAAACTTTTTCATAGTAATCCTCTCCTGTAGTTGTTCCTTTGATGCTTTGCAGTGCAGCAAGCTCTTCTGTGACTTCGAAATAGTCATTCGTCCCACGAATAAAAATTAGAAGTTGTGCAGAATCAAGAAACTCATTGCTTTCGTCGAGTGCCAAGGAAAAATAGGAAAGTGTTTTTTGTGGAGTTTTGCAAATGCTGATTCAAATTGTCTCCCATTTCTTCAATCCTCCGTGTAATTGTAGGTCCTGAAAGACTCACTGTACTAAATAAATCGGCCTTCTCTGGACACATCTCTTTGGCAACAGAAAGAAGGCATTCTTTAACAAATTCTCCCTCCACTAATGGTCTGCCAGTGCACGCTATTAGCTTGGCAACTTGAAAACTTGCTTGCAGTGATGAAATATTTAGCTGCTTCTGCTTCACAAAAGTATTTTGCTGAGTTAATGTATTTTTCAGTTTTAATATTTTATCTTTTCTCACTTCTCCGACCAAACAATCATATTTATCTTTATGTTGAGTTTCATAGTGTCGACGTAAATTGTATTCTTTGAACACAGACACTATATTCTGGCATATCAGACACACAGCTCTTTCCTTGTACTGCATGAAAAAAGTAATCATAAGTCCACTGTTCTTTGAATTTCCTACACTCCAAGTCAATTTTTCTCTTGACATCATTGTTTCCCAGGGAGTCAAAATTGCTATTAGTAAAATACCAATATATATACAGCGCTACAAAAACAATATACCAGCAATAACTTTGCCCACACAGAGACATACAGACTGCACTGCCCATCAATGCAGTCTGATTAATTACACCTGCAGTTTTGTTCACAGATCGCAGTACATCCCTAGCACACGGGAATATCACTGGGAGTGGAGCCGAGGGGCAAATGAGGGAGCTGAGGGAGAGAGAGCCAGTCAAGCGCAGCCAGGGGAGGGCTCGGCAGCCTTAGGCCTGGGGGGCAAGTCCAGTCAATTGGCCCATTGAACCATTCACCAGCGCAGCCCAATGAGTGCCCACCGCCGCAGCTCAATCAGTGCTCACCAGCGCAGCCAAATCAGTGCTCGCCACTGCAGCCCAATCAGTGTCCACCACCGCAGCCCAATGAGTGCTCACCAGCGCAGCCCAATTAGTGCTCACCAGCGCAGCCCAATTAGTGCTCACAAGCACAGCCAAATTAGTGACCATGGGCCGGATAAATGTCCTCGGCGGGCCGCATGTGGCCCGCGGGCCATAGTTTGAGGACCCCTGATCTAGATGCTCACCCCGAGCCCTCATTACTCTGATAATGCTTGTCTTTGTACTGTACGCCTTTTGGCGTCCTCTGGTCTAACACTGTTTTGAGACTAGGTTCAAAAGAAAGCTCTCTGGTGTGGTGTGGACCAATCAGTTTCAAAGACAATGCATATATTATCAGAGTAAGTTTTTTGTTTGCATTCTGACCACAAGTATTGTGGTTAATGCAAACATGATTCCTTGTAAAAAGTTGGTGTTTTAACACCAAACTGTTGCCAGAAAAAAGGGGAAAACAGATTCTCACTAACTGAATTGTGATTTTCCAGCTGAATATTTATCCTCCCAAGTTTTCACCATGTGCAGCTGCGTTTAACGTGGTAATTGCGTTCCTGAAAAGTGTTGCATTTCAGCGAAAACAATTTCCCCATAAATAATGTAACGATAAAGTTTTGCAAGATACGATGTATGCTTACAGAAAGATGGCGGGACAAATAACTGGGTGTATACTGTCGCGTTCCTGTTTCATTCTCCATACTGTATCGCACCGCTCAGCCCTGCAGCTCAAGAAAGTAGTTTGTCATCGACCACTCAGAAATCGCGTTGTAATGGTGTTCGTTCCACAGTGCGTAAAGTATTCGCTAATGGAAGAATCGCATTGAAGATAAAACGCATTGAGCGATCGCACGTTAAGCAGAGACTTGCATATTGTAATTGACTCCTGAAGATGTGCACAACTGTGCATGGCGAAAGCTTGAACAAAGAAACGCTCAAGCAAATTGCATTTTTTTCCTCACTCTTTGACCTGGGTTGTCTTTGACTTTAATGTGTACTTTTTGTTGAAGGCCATGTGTTTTTGTGTGTTTCAGGTATAGAGGAAGCAGCATGCAAACACTCGTCCTTGCATCTGTCCACCACCTTCCCGCTCGCTGCTGACAGCATGTCGTTTTCTCCTCAACAGCAGTTCAGCGATCAGCCCATGGCTCAAGCGCAGGTACTCGCTCTTGTCAGCATGCTTGCTATATTACTTTTTCCAGTTAAGACAGATGGTGGCAGGGTAGCACAGCAAGAAATTCCTGGGTTCGATTCCTGACTTGGGCGCCTTTCTGTATGGAGTTTGTATGTTCTCGCTCGTTCTTCATGGGTTTTCTATGGGTTGTCCAGCTTCCTGTTATAGATAAAACACACCTACGATGTAACCTGTATTGGCCAAACATCCCAATGCTGAAAAGTTACCTTAAAAATACTCAAATTAGCAACATAGACACCTCTTTGAAAAACTTGGAAGGACCCTCCTTGGGTAAGCAAGCATAATATTATCTGTGAATGGTAGTTGCATTTACATCATCATTTAGTATGTAGCAGGTATCTTTTGAGCAATTGGACATTTTGTGAGAATGAAACGTGTGAGGATGGGACTGGTGCCAACTGAAACGGTGGATTTGCTCATTTAAAATTGAGCATCCACTGCTTGAGAGACTCTTCTCACAACGGCCTGAATGTTGAACTGCTATTTGTTTGTTGAAAATACATTTTCCACTGTGTTAGCCTCCCATCACTATTATGTACCAAGCTCAACAAATAGAGTACGACTCCACACTAGTTTGAGCATAGAGGAGACACTTCATCTGACTTGGTTAAAAAAAGAGCATGCGTGTGTTTCCCCCTGCTGGAACAACCTACGTGTTGAACTGTGAACCTGTGCATGTAGGCTAGTATTTTCATTGGAAGCTGTGCATATCAATTAAGTGTTCGTTTTAGTACCTTTTTGAGTACATGCATGACTCAATTCTTAGCACACATTCAAAGTGTGACGTTTCCCTTTCCTCACATTTCAATGCCTAGGTGTTATTTGTTATATTATTCATGCTACTTAATCATCAGAGAGTAAATTATAAAAAAAAAACATTTCCTCGTGAATTATTAGAATTAATATTCTTTGATTCTTTCGGTAAAGTCACGTAAATAGAAAAAAAGAAAAATAATTAGAAATAAAAGCAAAAAACCCACGACGTTTTGATTGCAACACAAGTGGTCTTCATCAGGCGGAGAGAAAAGAGGGGGCAAGCCTCCAAATGCAACTGCTTATAAAGCTCGCGCTTTACTCCCCCTATCTCTTACCCACCCCCCTCTCTCTCACCCTATCTCTACCCCCTCCCTCCCCCCATTGTCTACATTAGCATTGGCTGCCCCGCCCATGCTGTTTACGCCACACAGCTTTCCTTGCTTCTGCCTCGCAACTCTAGTCCTCTGCCCACTCACAACTTTGGAAGCCCTTATAAGCAGTTGCATTTGGAGGCTTGCCCCCTCTTTTCTCTCCACCTGATGAAGACCGCTTCTGTTGCAATCGAAACGTCGTAGGTTTTTTGCTTTTATTTTTTTTTTTATCTACGTGACTTTACCAACAGAACCAACGAATATGAATTCCTGCAGTCACGAAAGTTTTAAATCAAAACTTAATAGAATTTAAGTTTTGACATGGCAAGAGTGTACATACTGATACCCGTTTCCTACTTTTTTCCTGCAGCTGCTTCCAGACATGACAATCCTGCAGCGAAGAATCCCTCTTAAGTTCCGTGACCCAACCACAGCACCTCTGAGAAAACTGTCCGTCGACCTTATAAAGACATACAAACACATTAATGAGGTAAGGATTGTTTGTTTATGCTATTATAAGTCTTGTACGGGGCTGTAGTAGGATAGAAATAGATGTCTTCCTTCTTCAGCCTCCTTCCTCACTTGAGCAGTCCCAAAAGTTAAGATAATTTTTTTAGACATTGACTTTTAAAAACCAATGTAAGTGGACTTGTGCAGGACGCATCACTAAGAGGGGATCATGGCCAAGACAAAGGAGCAGCACCTGAGAGAAAGCCCACCATAGAGACGGAGTGAGAAGTTCTTGTGCTGGAGCCAAGTGGCTTGTGGCATCTTGGGGTTAATTTCAGCTTGGGGGGAGGGAAAGTAGAGGTGTGCATTATTTAAAAAAATCGAATTAATCTTGGGCTGTTCTAAATTCATTTTAAAAGAAAATCCCAAAATGTGTATTATCCATAATTGCTATTATAATCTCGGGAGTTTTAAAATGACTGCATAATATATTATGTTCTATATAGACATTGTTGGGGCTGATAATAGGTTTTCACTCTTTTTTCTGGCAACAAAACAGGTGTTAAGATGTTAAACACCAAACTGAAACCTTTTACAAGGAATCATGTCTGCATTAACCACAATGCTTGTGGTCAGAATGCAAACAAAAACGTACTTTGATAATATATGCATTGTCCTTGAGCTCTCATTACTCTGATAGTGATTGTCTTTGGGCTGTACGCCTTTTGGCATCCTCTGGTCTAACACCGTTTGAGATGAGGCTCAAAAGAAAGCTGTCTCTGGTGTGGACCAATCAGTTTCAATGGCAATGCATATATTATCAGTTTTTTTCGTTTGCATTATGACCACAAGCATTGTGGTTAATGCAGACATGATTCCTTGTAAAAGGTTTCGGTTTGGTGTTTTAACATCTTAACACCTGTTTTGTTGCCAGAAGAAAAGGCAAAACTATTATCATATTTTGGTACTGGCAAAGGAGGTCCCATGATGTATTGTTGGGGCTTACGAGCATCTTCATTGTAAACACAATAACAATAGTTTGTAAGACAAATGTGTTGCTCTTCATCCTGAATAGTTTGTGTGGGCTTTGGCAAGTATTAGCTTTGGTAAGTATTTCACACCTGATTTAGCACGGTTGGCTACGTACGGTGCAAAAGAAGTTACCACATATATGCAGCTTTCAACAGTTAACTTTATACATTCTTCCCCACACTTATTCGGCAGGTATACTATGCAAAGAAAAAACGGCGAGCCCAGCAGCAGCAAGGGGAAGACTCGAGCCATAAGAAAGAGCGCAAGGTGTACAACGATGGCTACGATGATGACAACTACGATTACATCGTGAAGAATGGGGAGAAGTGGATGGACCGCTATGAGATAGATTCTCTCATTGGCAAAGGCTCATTTGGACAGGTAGTGCATATGATGTGGTTTGGAATGTTGATGCCGTACAATAATGTTACATTTGCAGAGCTCTTTTACTGGCTGTACTTTACTTTGTTTTAACATGTTTAAAATTAACCGCTTGTAAAAATCGATACATTTATAAGTGTAGTGTGTAGAGTTAGTTACTCTTTTAAAACGTCATTTATAGCCCTTGGGAATGGTGGCGTAGTGGTTAGTGGACTATTCTCTGAAACCAATTACCTGGGTGTGATTTTGTACAACAGCTAATATTAGTGGCGGTGTGATATCTGAACCATTCCTGCGCTCTCCGTTCATCAGCCCACACTGAGCAGCATAGTGAAGTATGGTTAAATAACTCCCATGACCAACATGGCAAGGGGAAGACATAATCCAGCATTGCATGGACAAAGGACTGTGAATTGCTGTGTTTTCTAAACATGCTATTTTATATGGAGAGTAATATTACATTTCAATCACATTTTATTTATAAATTAGCACGGTTTGGGTGGGAGGGGAGACATGATGTCATCACGCACGAACCCGGCTCCATGGTGAGGGGATGTGACGCCTGAGCATATGCCCATGTGCCATCCAGCCAGCAAAACTTTATACAGAATGATGAAGGAAGAACCCTCTATCCATCTTTTGTAGTTAATTTATAGATCTTGTTTTCTACATGGATAAGAATTCAATTAATTGTGTTACCATTTCCACATGTTAATACATTAACAGCCATACATTTTTCTGGTAAAATGATACATTTGATTATTATTGTATTATGCAGGAAAAATGTATCACGGTTTTATTTATTCATACACATGTAATTATATAACTATACACAATTATATGACTATACATATACAATAGATGGGCTGTCAGTACAATAAATGGTAATGCTTTTTTTATCCACATTTGGTGTTTTGGAATATTTAATTCACATTTAAAAAAAAATCTAAATATACGAGATGGCTGGTTGACTGAGATCAGAGTGCTCAAAGAGTTTCAGTCCAGCTTTCAGCTGGTCACCATTGATTGCAAAGAAACATCAAATTAATTTATATTTAAAGCTTTCGTGACTGCAGGGATTCATCTTCTTGGTTCTTTCGGTAAAGTCACGTAGAAGGGAAGTAATAAAATAATAAAAATAAAACATAATAAAATAATATAAGTTTATTTTATTATGTTTTATTTTTATTATTTTATTACTTCCCTTCTACGTGACTTTACCGCAAGAACCAAGAAGAAACATCAAATCATTATTAAAGCTATGCCTTTACCTCAGAATGAATATTCATTCCTTTCTTTAGCAGGATAGGATTTTTTGTGTGCCTTGAATATATTTATAACAGTGTACGATATTATACATTTAATATATTAACTGATGCTTTTTGTTTTTTTGTAGGTTGTAAAAGCGTATGATCACCAGGAACAGGAATGGGTAGCAATCAAGATCATTAAAAACAAGAAGGCCTTTTTGAACCAAGCGCAGATCGAGGTGCGACTGCTGGAACTGATGAACAAGCACGACACGGACATGAAGTACTACATAGGTGAGCGTGCATCTCAATTGAGATATCTTGTAGTAGTTTGGTATTGATCATTATACAGCATAAGGATGTGCTCCCAATTTCGGATTAATTCGAAAAATTGGGCCAAGGTATGAAATTTTGGACAATCCAAATGTTTTCTTTCCATCATTCCAAAGTGTGACGTCGAGTGATTTCACTTTGTATGGATTTTATACAACAATGTAAAATATCTAAATAGCTGAAAAAGATCTTATCTTTGGAAATATGAATTTATTTTTAACTTTTAAATACCAAACTCATCCTGACTGCAGCATAATTAAAAAACATGTTAATTGTATTTTATGTATGGTATAAGTCTTCACTCGGTGTAATATTGAAAATTATTGCTTGATTTAGGGACCTATTAACATTATTTATTAAAGTCATGTTAACACTAGACATGTATGCCTGACACTATCTATATGATTGTCACTTGACATTATTTCCAACACAATAGATAGTACTCTTTGTGATGCCAAACAAAAAAAATGTACCATCACGGTTGCCGTCCAGTTTGACTCGTCACAACCACCACTGCATCTTCAAGTCGAGGATATGTTAGTGTCACCACATTTCAGTGTACAGGCAGTCTTCGATTTACGACCGTTAGATTTGCGACGATCCACATTTACGACATATAATGCCACCTTGGATCGATTTTCGACGCAGAAACTTGAGTTATGACGCATCTTCCAACATGACTCCGAACACATTTGAAAAGTCCGTCGGTCTGGTTTCCAATGTGACTTGACGTGGAGCTAGTGTTATTCTCAAGCGTTTTTCAGGATTTTGAGCTACTTAACCCTCTTAAATATGGTCGATTTAAAGGAAAAGCACATCGACAAGTGATGTTTCTACTGTTTCTACTGTCTATTGGAAAATAGGGTCCCGATTTCCAACGATCCGATTTACGACGGGGTTTCCAGGAACGTGTTGTAACATCGTAACAGTGGGGACCGCATGTATTTCCATTCCAAGAACATTTCCTTGGTTGTTCCTGGGTTTACCAGCCAATGCCTTTTTGACCTTTATGAGCCGCTCATGTCTATTCTTGGGAACTGGCGGCGATGCCCTCTTGCTGGCCGTTCTCGATATTTCACGTGACCAAATGGAGGTTTTGTTTTGAGGCCAGCATATGCATGCTGCCTGCTAGTGGCAAGTTTAGGGGGGGAAATAGCACGTAAGCACCATGGTCAAGTTTAGTTTACACGTTTATTTTGTTTAACCAGGTGATAATTCAAGAGACTGGGCTAGTCTCATTTGCAAGAATCAGCTGGGGCATTAGTCTGCCTGTCTAGGGAATAGTTGCTATGTATAATCTCAATTAGATACTTTATAAATTGCCGAATTTCTAAAATTTGGACCATGATGCCAGCACACATTGGCCTACTCTTCATGTGTCCATTGGGAAGCAGCCACCATGTGTTTTCATGGTTATCATAGCCGCAGTAAAAATCAATGACGGCCACTGGAAATGAACCGTTAACCTCTGTTAGATCATGTCCATTGTCCGAGTGTATTAATTCTGGAATGTTACCAACAATTGAATTGGCCTAGTTTACATATTTAATTTTTCATTTTTATAAATTAAGCATCTGCAGGATGACATAACATTCAAAAACGTGGCTGTAAAAGGATTAATTTCCTGTCCCAGTTCTTGACATTGTGTGGTCATGTATGTATTTATCCCTGTACACAGCACACGTCCTGCTATAAGCATCAATATTTTTCACAATTTTGCCCATTTCAGGATCCTTTTATGAGTATACCTGTACGATTATTTACATTGCGGTTTTTAAGTAAACCTGATAAAATTTTCATAACATTGTATAACATTTTCATTCTTTGACCAGTGCACCTGAAACGCCACTTCATGTTCCGGAACCACCTGTGTCTGGTGTTTGAGCTCTTGTCATATAATCTTTATGACCTGCTGCGAAACACCAACTTCCGTGGAGTGTCACTCAACCTGACGCGCAAGTTCGCACAGCAGATGTGCACAGCGCTACTCTTCCTGGCCACACCTGAACTGAGCATCATTCACTGTGACCTGAAGCCAGAGAACATCCTCCTGTGCAACCCCAAACGCAGTGCCATCAAGATTGTCGACTTTGGCTCTTCGTGTCAGCTTGGACAAAGGGTACGTAGCTCTACTTGGATATAAAAAATATAAAATGTGCAGTTTATTGGCGGAAGACAGAGGAAACATGACGAAATGTGCAGTGGACACCTATGGCCATGGATGGTGATGATGAAAATATGCAGTTATATAAATAATTTCTTTAAACCATTAAGTTATATATAAAGATAACCAAGTAACTTTGTATTATTATGCTGCTTTATTTAGTTTGATTTTAACTATTTCAATAAACTAAGCCTATTAAAATAATTTGATCAAAATTATATTTCCTGCTACACTACCTTACACTTTATTAATATACAATCCACTTGTAGCGGCATTCGTGTAACACAATACATATCATTTCTCGTTGTGTTAACATAACTAAAATATGCATTATTTCTAAATCGAATTCTTGTCCAACCTTCGCCAGCATAGCTGAGCTCATGGTTCAGATTCGCACAACCACATGCGATGAAAGTGATAAGTTGCTACACTTGAGGAAGAGTTATATTTTCGCATTTATTTTTCTCTGCGATTGGTCATGCCATTAAACTAAAGTATCCTTTCAGAACTATAAAATAAACATTGGCCACTGTTATCTTCTTCATGCAGTGGTAGCGGAAACGACGGTGAAGCTATGGTTATCTTCATGTGTTCATCATCTTAGTCACCATCGTGCATTTTATCTGCGTACTCGCAGATTATATGATGAATTTAACGGCTGTATCCTCCCTCATCTACGGAATGGAAAGAAATAAAAGTTCCCATCTGTGTATGATTGTCGATTTGACCTAACCTCCCTGAGTCGGCAACCTGCGGCTCCGGAGCCACAAGCGGCTCTTTGGCTTCCCCCTTGTGGCTCTTTGGCTGCCCCTATTCGGGCAGCGTTTTTTTTTACATAAATCTTAAACATAATTTAATGTAAAAATTAGTGATGAAATAGGTAATCATGGAATGTCTTGGTGACAACAATGTACAGTCCTACTGTGTTTAAAGAATAAGGGGGAAATAAACGAAATAGACGCAGTTTATTCCGTTACCTATTTAGTTTATTTAAGTGAGAATGTGTTTTATCGTCTGCTGCATACCTGCTGCTGTGTTTGTGTACAAGTGGCTCGCAAACTATTTTGGTCAAAAACAAAAAAAATCTTCTTTGAGAGCTTGCTGACCCCGAGCACTTAATCCCATGGATATTTGGAGTTGTAAAGAAACCACAGATGAAAGGAGTTTTGCTGTGGGTTTTTTTTTCTCCATTATTCATGTGAGAAATCGGACAACAAAATTATTGTGTTTTTAAGCGCGTTCAGCATTTAAAAGGGGGTTCGTCGTGTGTTTTCAGATTTACCAGTATATTCAAAGTCGGTTTTACCGCTCTCCTGAAGTCCTGCTGGGAATCCCCTATGATCTCGCCATTGACATGTGGTCACTGGGCTGCATTCTGGTGGAGATGCACACGGGGGAGCCGCTCTTCAGTGGCTCCAATGAGGTAATGTCAGCAACATCCACATCGCTTAATTGCTGTGCTATATGATGTTTGGAATCTACAAAACAAGTACAAAATGACACGTTAGCATTGTTGATTAATTATGTGATATAAATGTAAGCAATATTGTTTGCACAACAGCATCAGCAGTCTTCGATATTTAGTGTATAATTCAGTGTGAAATTTTTATTTTTTGCATTGTTTATATTTTTAGTAAATGGTGGCTTTTTGTGCTTATTTACACAGTATTTGATATCTTATGCAGCTAAAATCCATGTGCAGAATTACATTTCACTACCACCACAGGTTCCGTGAAGGTTTTTCTAAATATTTTTCACTGCGGGTAGTGAAAGCTATTTAGAGGATGCTTTTAACATTGCCGGAATCATATTTTAAGTGTAATGATCACATCCTCAATGACGATTATATCGGCCTTGGATTATCACAGCTATGCTCCAGCATCATGCTGTGTATAGCAAAAAAACAAGAAAATAACTACACTCAATTAAGAGTTTTTAAAATCAGATATCTTTGGTTATTCAGGATGGCAAATTATCCCTTAGTGTTATCTCCACTCAGAATAGTTATTTTATTTTATTGTGTGTTATGTAGTTGTGAAGGTTGGATGACTTCAAGACCAAGTTCATTGTTTTGGATAATATTAAGTGACTTCAGCATGAAAGCATGTGCCCTGAATATTATGTTGTTGCTTTTATAGGTTGACCAGATGAATAAGATTGTGGAGGTTCTGGGCCTGCCACCTACACACATGTTGGAACAGGCACCCAAAGCCCGGAAGTATTTTGAAAGGCTCTCGGATGGGTCCTGGACTGTCAAGAAAACTAAAGACAGCAAAAGGGTCAGATAATTATTGCCATTCTGTTGCTGATTATTCTCTTTTGTACAATGGGTGAAATACATATTTCTATACCATTGTGTAATTTCATATGGAGTATTATGATGTATAGTTGGATTCTTTGGGTTCAGATCATAGAGGTAAATTTGTGCTATAACCCTCCACTGCCAGACGAGTCAAACAAATTGAAGTTACGTGGCAAAATGTACCAATTGATTTTTTTCCCCAAAAACTGCTTACATTGAAAAGAAAGATTTTTTTTTTCAATTCTGAAAAATGTTTTTACTGGAAATTTCGACATGCATCTTAGAGTGTCGGGTAAGAGCTCGGATCTTGTATAAATGCTCCTTATCCTAAAGCAGGTGTCCTGAAGTCATTGGGACAGGCATGCTGGTGAACCGGATTGTTGCATTACAATTACTTACTGATGGATTGGTTGTCAAGTTTAAAATCGTGTAACAAGGTACATTTATAAAATTTGTGAAAACAGGTTATCCTTAATTATATGCAGTGGAGTGTGTTAAAATATATATCTTATCTATACAAGTAATTTTTTTTGTCTGTCTGTGTCTGTCTGCACGGGTACCTCAAAAAAGTACCCAGATACCACGCAATAAGCCCCGGGATGAAAAAGCGATATTCATTTTTACCATCCGTCAAGTTTAAAGTAGTTAAATTAACAATGTATTCTTTTTATACGCTGAGGGCGGCGCCAAAGCACACATCTGCGCATGCGTGAGAACACTAACTCGGTGGGGACGGGGAACATTTTCAAATCGTGTTAAAAATGCAAAAAATAGGGCTGAGGTAAATTTTTCAGTGTAATGTCGTCTTCTCCCCCCCCCCCCCACCCCAATGTGTGCAGTTACTGCTATAGAGTCGGTAGATACTACTATAGTCCATAGATACTACTGTAGAGCGGGTGGGGGGATGGTCGGGGGGCTAGCAGCCCAGCCGGCCAAGGTGCCACCTCGGCCGCCTGGGCAATCTAGCTGAGGTCGGCGACACTCTGCAGGACTAGGCCTCACTACGGCACTCTGTGAAGTTAGTAGATACTGCTATCGAGTCCATATATACTATGAGCAGCGACGAAGGTGACCAACAGCTACACTGCGAGGGGGGGGGGGTCCACTCCCAACAACAGCCCCGAACCCCCATCCCGGGCCCCCTCTTATCCTCCTGGCGTAGCCTCGCCTCTCCCTAGCCACGCCCCCCTTCTAGAACCTACTAGTGGGTTCTCGGCTTCCAGATGGACCCCTGTCCTGGGCTTCCCTTTTGGTCTCCTCCTGCTGACATGTGTACTGCCCCCTGCTGTCATCATCCCTTCCTGTCATCAGCCCATGTTATTACACTACACTACTATAGTTAGTAGATACTGCTATAGAGGCGATATATACTATTATACAGTCAGTAGATACTACTATAGTCAGTATATACTGATCAAGTCGGCAGATGCTACTGCAGAGTCGGCAGATGCTACTGCAGAGTTGGAATATAATACTTCAGTCAATAGATACCACTATAGTCAGGATATACTGCTTCAGAGTCAGGTCAGGAGACACTATTCTATCGGCATTGTTGAGTGCTGTGTGCGATTGCCACTACTTGTAGCCTGTAGTAATGGCCCCGTGTCAACAGGGGGCGGAAGAGAGGCTGAGCCCGATAGTTTAGATGAAGTCGGGCCGTTGGGTCGAGGTAACCCCCAGGGAGCATCGTGACCGGAGGTGCAGACCCCAGACCCCCAAGAGGGGGCTGGGGGATGACATCACACTCCAGGTCACTCTGGAAGGTTCCAGATGGGAGGAGTGGCTTGGGGCAGAGTGAGCCTGGACTGGGCATAGAAGCCGGACCCCTGAACGGGACTGGCAGTTGTCATCCACTTGAAGATTGAAGGCCACCCTGAAAACCTAGGAGCCGGAGCCAGATCCGAGGTCCTTGGCTGGGTTGTTGCGTAATAAACGTGTTGCCTCCAGTTTGTACCCACTACACTATTACAGTCAGTAGATACTACTGCGGTCAGTAAATACTACTGTATAGTTAGTAGACACTATTACTGTCAGTAGATACTACTACGGTCAGTAAATATTACTGCAGTCGGTAGATACTACTGTAGAGTTAGTAGTTACTACTATAAATCTTGATTTGAAGCTTTCGTGACTGCAGGAATTTATACTCTTTGGTTCTTTCGGTAAAGTCAAGTAGACGAGCCTACTTCAGTTTTTTCTTGCTGTGGTTGTGCCACCTGATGACGATTGCTTGTGTTGCAATCGAAACGTCGTGATCTATTATTTTTCTACCTATGTGACTTTACCGAAAGAACCATAGAGTACTACTGTAATAAAAGGACTCAGACACTTCTTGCTGACTCCGTGTCCTTTATTTGGGGTTCGCGTTCTCCTTCCCACACGGCACTCCTCCTGAGACTCTCTCCCTGGCAGCCCCACATCTGCCTTCGCTCCCGTAGCCTTCCACGCTCCTGCAGCTCCGCTGCAGGCTCTTGGTACAGCCCTCTGGCTGCTCCCCCAGCAGCTCCATCTCCGCTCCCTGTTCCTCCGTGCGTGGCGATCTCGCCACCTCCCAATGTCAGCCCTTCGTGGCCTCTATGGCTATCTCGCCATTTCCTACCTCAGCCCTTCGTGGCCTCTGTGGCTATCTCGCCGTTTCCTACCTCAGCCCTTCGTGGCCTCTGTGGCTATCTCGCCACTTGCTACCTCAATCCTCCACTCTCTCTTCCACCCCGCTGGCTGGCGCCGTCATGAGCCCCTCAGCCACCAGGCTGAGGCACGGCGACCACCCAACGTGTTCACCACCCTTCACTCCCCCGACTGACCCCAGATAGCTTCCTGTCTCCCCGCTATAACTTCTCCCCCACGTCACCCTGACTCCTCCCTCTCGGATCGTCATATCCGCCCCGCCCATTTACGCCCGCATTACACTACCCTCCCCCGTAGAGAAAATCCCAGCCGTCCTCGGCTGAAACAGAACAAAATAATGCGGGCGAAGGCATCACAATCAGGAGTCCCCCAGACACAACGGAGATTATAACAACAACACAAGCAACGAAAGGGGAGGTATCAGGAACTGGAACAGAACACCGGCCTGTCCTCCGCGCAACATCAACAAGAATAAGAATGGCACAATGAACAAAACGGCAACTGACACGCAAGAACGGCCAACGCGCACAACCCAGAAAGTGATGTTTTAGTGCGTGTCCATGTTGCAGTTCCATCCGCTCGGCTCAAGTCCAACGTCAAAGAGCAAGTGGTAGAGCAGAATGACGAACGGCGCTCAATTGCTCCTTCAAGTCCTCATCCAGCTAGCATACCAGGTAATACCCAGTGCGACGGGAGCTGAAGAATCTGTGACGAGAAGGAGAATCCAATCCCCTGAGGCACAGCACAACAACGCACATCCGCATGTCGTACACGACAGCCACCCGGCCTCAGGGTAGTGGAGATGATGTAAATCCGGCCCGCTTAAAAAAACTCCCCATAAATACCCAAAATAACGCAATGGATGCCCCAGTATTTACATTTTAACAACAATATTATTTAAACGTGACAACAACAACAACAAAATTTCCTGCTCTTACCCACCAGCAGTCCTCCCTTGAGGACCAGCAGACATCGCACGTACACAGCATGTACCCACGGTCACTCTCAGCAACCCAACAAAACACCTAATCGCACACCCTCGCGTGGAGAGAGCCACGCTCCCCAGCGGTAACGTTTAACTCGCCCTAACCCCCACCGTGGTCGTCAACCCACAGCAACATCCACTGACCATACTCTCAGCTAGTGCAATTTCGGGGATGAGCAGCAACTCGGCCACGCTCCTCCCTTACTATCCCATCAGAGATGGACACACACCAGCCTCGTATAGTCCGATGCTTTATAGCCCAGGGAAGGTTCATCCCCCAGCAATGCCAGACCCCCTGTACTCCCCCCACGGGGCAATGTTCTCTTATAGAGACAATAACACCCTAACCCAGATCCCGTGAGCCCCCGGCACACCAGGTTCAGTCTGCCACCGCACAACTGAACCATGACTCCCCGAGCCATATGAGCACATGGCCCATTAGTTTAAGACATACCACGGAGGTTTCGCCTCCGGGCTGTCAGGTCAGCCATCAGCCATAGGCCGATGTGACCACAACTCGTGCATCACCCAATCAACAATGGCAGGCATAACAGATGGAATATTTGCCCCACCTCGGTTTATCCCGCGCGCTCAAAATGGCGTCCCCCTTCGCCCAGCGCGTTCGCGCAATATCTCGTGCGCACTCAAAATGGCGGCCCTTTCCGCAAAGCGCATCGTCAACATACCCCGCGTGCGCGCAAAATGGCGGCCCAACGTGCGAACACGTGGCCAGTTTTCTCCATTCGTGCACCCCAGCTTCCCTTAACTGGGGGTCACAAGACGCATCCCCCGTCACGTTATAACAACCCCACCAACGATAGACGCACAGCCCCAGCTTGCTGCGCACAGTTGTCATATCGTGGAATTTTAACCAATATTTTACCAACCACATTGGTTACACAACCCAACTCGCCAAGCAACTCGTGGCTGCATGCGATCAACCGAATACGCGACGCCACTTGGCGCCAATTTACGGTCCCATTAGCATTAACCTTTGAGACACCCACAACGGCGTCATCGCGCACCCTCATTTTCAAAAAGCTCAATTACCCCTATAATATACACGCAATCTCGTGTGCACAACACCCATACAACCAAATTTTATGGTCCCCCTCTATAATATACACGCAATCTCGTGTGCACAACAACCATACAACCAAATATTTGGGTCCCCCTCGAATTTGTTAGCAATTTCCAACAGGTACGCACAATATAATAACAATCTCAATTCCAATAGTCAACCACTGCATCGCACCCCATAACCATACAGAACGGTATAACAGCACATGCAATCAGCATATCGCGATCACACGCGTACATTTAAGCACAATAGCAAGCAGATTTGCAGGCAACCAACACACCAT